CTCAACTTTTCAGCACAACTTGGTTGTGCTGTGTGGAATTTCAACATGTTACAGCTGTAAAATTCCGTGTACTACAAACAAACATCCAATATGGAAGCCGGAAATGTACCACAGGTGGAACTGGAGATGCCATGAGCGAGGAGGGCTCACAGCCCGTCTCCCACAGCCTTTCTCTCTCCTCCGTGAGGGAGAATCCCACAAAGCCCAGTTGGGAAAACATGGACCTTGACTTTACATGACCTCCAAGCACTGCTGTTGAGAGTCTTTGGAATTTCTATTCTTTCCTTGACCTCTGGGTCAAGGAAAGCCATTACCTACCCAGGTAATGGCTTTGCTTTCTACTGCTCACCTGGAACACAGATATTCCCCACACCCACCTCCCTTGGCCACCCCTGCTGCATCTTAGCTGTCCCTGTCCACGTTTTCTGCTGTCTTGCATGGTATTCTACAGGCTCTTCAAAGTCTAGTTCACCCACTTTTCCAGAACCCTTAATGGTAGCCTGGTAGGAGAAATTAGGTTACAGTCCCTCACAGGTGCAAAATGATACCTAAGAGGTCGTCCTGCCAACAGCCACTTCTTCCTTAACACATACTTGGTAGGCCAAGCACGGTGGCAGGCACACCCTGGCCTGGAGGACCCAGAGGACCGGTATTTGGAACTCCCTTGCATCCTTAGGTTGGCCATGACTGTCTGGGCCCCTCCTGCAGAGGCCATGTGAGAGCACCTCAAGGAAGGTTCTCACTAACTGCAGAGCTCTGAGCCAATGTCTGCTGTCGGTATTGCTCATGATTTAGACAGCAAACGGTAGCCCTGGCTCTCCCACCAGAGCTGTCCATGTGGTGCGTGGTCATGCACAACTTCTTTCATTGGACCATCATGTGGGTCTGATGATAAAACAAATATTCCAGCATCAGGGTTGGGGGGGGTTCCCCAACTCCATCTTATGTCTTTGAGGAAATTGTTTCTTATGCAGGACAGCTCCATAACTTGTGGGATCACGTGCAAAATAAAAATGTGGTGCCCCTTATCCAAAAAGGACAAAAACCCACGTCCCTCTCTTCCATGATCTATCTGTTGTGGCATTTTGCCTTGGCTGTTTGATGTTGCACTCCCTCGAGCAGGGGGATACTCCTGGGAACCAGGACAAACCCTCATGAGCGCAGAACCTTGACCTGACCTTCCTGCGCTTGTGCCCAGACCCTTGTCAGGGTGAAGGGCAGCAGTGGTCACTGAGCAGGAAGGGACAGGGGAGTGGACAGCTGAGGCTCCATCCCAAGGAAGCAGAAAGGCTGAGGGAGGCAGAACTGCAGAAGAGCCACACCACACGCCCCATCATCCCTTCAAATATAGACGCAACACACATTTAGAATCACTACGAATTTCAACACAGTAACCACAGAGCATGAAACCCCAAGAGAAGGGCCCCCTTCTAAGAGTGAGACATGCTCATGAGTCTATGAAGTGGACCCTGGAATCAGTACACAGTAGGTGCTCAGCACGTGCATGATGACTAGGCTCTGGGGGTATAGAGAAGGAAAGGGCTCTCAGTTTGAGGACATATCTGTCAATAGTAGCTGCCCATTCACTGTTGAAGGAATTTGAGTATGATTCCTTTCTCGATCCTCAGTTTCCTCACCTACAAAATGGGAACGACAATAAAGGTACATACATCAGAGAAAACTGTGGAATGCATCCCATTTCTGGCATGCAGAGAACGCCCGGTATTATCAAGATTCTTATTCCCAGTGCTGGAGACATAGCAGCCATTTAATAAACGCCTGAGCTGAGGCTTCTTAGAGAATATGAGATTTCAGCAAATTGGATGCAAAACTTCTCTTTACCTTTTAAAATCCGTCTGATTATCTTGTATCAGGATACAGCTTGTGTGGGGAAAGCGATCGCAATCCCCGAGCAACAACAAAGCATGGAGTGGCCCCAGGAAGGCTCGGGGAGGAAGGAAGGCGTGGGGAGGAAGGAGGGCGCGGGGAGGAAGGAGGGCGCGGGGAGGAAGGAGGGCGCTGGGAGGAAGGAGGGCGCGGGGAGGAGGTCCCTTTTAGTGTGAAACTTTTTTAGTGTCTGATCTTTCTTTCTCCTCCTTTCCCCAGAGCAGTTTTGCATCTGGGCTCAACTTTTTATATGTTTTTCCAAAGAAGAGCAGCCTTGGACCTAAGAAAATCTGAGCCTAAGGAGCCCCCCAAAACCTAGGAGGTCTCCAAGGCGTCTGCCCCAGAAACAACTAACGAAACTCACAGGCAGTGTGAGTCACCTCCACGCCCCACCCACCGAGTACACACTGCAAAGTCCACTCGGGGGGTTCACTGGGGGTCCTCAGAGATCCCACCAGCAGGGTGGCTGTTCAAATGCTTCTTTAGGACCCTGTTGAAACCAACAGAGAGTACTTAGTTCTGAGGCTTACTTACAAATAAGCTGATGGTCAGATGGGGAAGACCCATACCTCCGGCCAGCCCCTTGAAACTGTAGTCAATGAGGCCCCGTTGGGGCAGGGAGTCTCTAAGGACAGGGAAAGATGGGGGCCCTAGGTCATCATCCACCAAAGCCTAAGGCAACTGCACCCAGACTTTTGCCTGTGTATCCTCAAAACCCTCTACTTTATCATGTTTTTCTTCCAGAGAACTCTGTCCTTTGAGGCAAGTGTGTAACCCAATGTTTGCTTTTTAACATTTTGACAAGGGACAGTTGCAGGGCAATCATACGGTCCTTCCACCCCATAAATGTGAGTAATGAAAGGATCAGATGAAGGTTGGTGGTAACGCACTGACATGATGTTTTAATTGAGCTAGTGTTTCTCTCCCAGAAGACTCAGAACATCAGCACCTTGAATGGATGGGTAGCATTTCAAACTCCAAATACGTTCTGTTTTCTCATTTTTGTTTTCAATCTACATGCTCTTCCAGGGACTCAAACCTGTTACAGTTTTATCAGCAAAATGGGACTTTCTGCCAATTTGGTGGGATGAGCCTCACTGGGAGTGATGAGTGTGTCACGGAGCTGTGGTTGTGAGTCGGAATGGCTAATTCACTGATGTCAATCAGATGCCAAGGAAGTGCCGTCAGCTACTGAGCGTCATGTGACTGCTAGGTTTAGACACAACACAAACTTACGTATGGATGACAGCACCGCTAATAATGAATGCCAGTGACCTAAAGGGAAAATAACTTCAAATGAAACAAAAAGCACCTCATGTTATATTTACCCTGAAAGACCCAACTGGTTGAATAAAATCTGAATAAAGGAAGCATAGCAATGGGTGGATAATTTTGGTGGAACTTGGTGATGTGTACATGCACAACACAGTGAGACTGAAGCCCCCGTGGGGGGGTCCTCTAAGTGAGTTTGGTTGGAAGCTGCCATTCACAGTGCCTTGCATTTGCCAAGGCGGCTCCTCCTAAGCCCAGGCCTGGGAGTTTCTCAGGGATCATCCCACACCCCATTGGAGAGATGGGCCAAGTCTCTACCTGACCTCATCTTAGGTAGGGAGGTTCCCATGGAAGTGTGGGCTGGCTGTGGGGAGTCGAGGCACAGCCTTTTTCTTTTGACTTTTTTTTTTTTTTTTTTTTTTTTTTGAGAAGGGGGTTTCCCCTTTTTCCCCGGCTGGGGTGCAATGGCACGATCTCGGCTCACCGCAACCTCCGCCTCCTGGGTTCAGGCAATTCTCCTGCCTCAGCCTCCTGAGTCGCTGGGATTACAGGCACACACCACCATGCCCAGCTAATTTTTTTGTAATTTTAGTAGAGACGGGGTTTCACCATGTTGACCAGGATGGTCTCGATCTCCTGACCTCGTGATCCACCCGCCTCGGCCTCCCAAAGTGCCGGGATTACAGGCTTGAGCCACCGCGCCCGGCTCTTTTGACTTTTTACCCCATTTTCTCTAAACTCCAGCAAGCAGCTTCCATAGTTCATTAAATTGGACTCAAGGTCTGATGGCTTGCAAAGCAAATTCTTTATAACTGTTATAAAGGTTTCATTGCTTAAGCATATAATCTAGTAAAATTGCCAAGCCCCCTCCACTCCCAAAACTGTAAGACTTGCCAGGGAAGTGAACAGTGTCTAGTGGACTCCAGGAGTAACTGCACTCAGTCCAGAACTCCCTGGAGGACACAGGGAAGGTTCCGGAAAGGTGGTGGTACCTCACTGGGGTGGGGGGGGGGGGACGTGGTGCTCCAGGGCCCAACCTGCTTATGTTCAGATCCTCACTCTGCCACTCACAAGCCAGCTGGGAGTAGCTACACAATCTCTGCCTCAGTTTCCCCATCTGTACAGGGGTTGTTTATAGCAATGATGCCAAGCTCTTAGAACAGTGCTCGGCATGTGCGCATTCCGTGCCTACTCTGTGACAAGCACTGTAGATAGAAAAATAAACAAAACAGGGAGAAATCCCTGCCCTCGTGGGGTTTACATCTGGGGCGGTGGGGGCACACAGCAGAGACGCAATGCAGTGATGAGCCCCCGATAGCTTAGGTGTTTCCAATCGTTGCCAATAAGCCACATATACACCCAAGTCAGGGTGCATCCTTCCCATGAACTTTGACTGTGAACTTTCACTGTGGGGCGACTTCGTATAGCTATGGTGTTTTGCCAACCAGCAGCTCTTGGCACACAAAATGTGCTGCCAGTCACCCTTGAAGTCCAGTAGATGCCCTGACCAGCCTTGTCCTTGACTCCACCTGCCTACTAAGAAAAGGGTGGTATGTTTTGCATCAGCAGTAAAATGGGTCAAAGTTTAGTCCATTGGAAGTTGTATCAAAACTCACTATGGTTGGTTGAGGGCCCAAGGTCTGCCAGCATTCATTAACAACTATCTGTTCAATGATTATCTCTCTGGGGTGTGTTGCAGTGAGTTGGCTCAAAGCATAACTGACCCTGGCCATGATCCAGAGACCTGCTCCCTGACATCAGTGGCGAGCCTCCCTGGGTGTAGCCAAGGGGCAGGGCTGGTCTTATCCATAGTATTTAAAGCTGGAAGGTTCTGCCACCAAGCACCGCCTTCCCACGGGGAACACAAACCTGCTGGCGGGAAGAACCCGGAAAGAAACCTGTGGATCTCCCTTCGAGATTGTCCAAAGAGAAGAAAGGTAAGTAGATCTTTGCATTTACATTTCTAAAAATTCCAAAGATGAGCTAATTTATTTCCTGAGAGTAATAACTATCTGGCAATGACCAGCCCCGGCGAAAGGCCGTCGAGTGTGTCTGAAGTGTCTGTTGCTTTTGTCCAGGACGCCTGTGTTTTCTATTTCAGGTGACTTTGACATTGGCGCCCCTTAGCAGCACTCTGCAGAAATGCCTCCTCAGCTGCAAAACGGCCTGGACATCGCGGCCAAAGTTGTCCAGGGCACCCTGGACAGCCTGCCCCAGGCGGTGAGGGAATTTATCGAGAACAACGCTGAGCTGTGTCAGCCTGATCGCATCCACATCTGCGATGGCTCCGAGGAGGAGAATGCGCAGCTTCTGCGCTACATGGAGGAGCAGGGCACCCTCAGGCAGCTGAAGAAGTACGACAACTGGTAAGCTTGGCCCCGGCCGCCTGCCCAGCCCCCCGCAGGCAGGGCTCCCCTGCGTCTCCTGGGAGTTGGTGGAGAAAGGTGAATGAAGGCCTCTTGGGAGTTTCCGGCTCTTGAAATGTGAAGGCAGGCAATGGTCAGAACCATACAGACTTGAATTTTGTGACATTGGTAGAGCAGCCCAGGCCTTAAATGAGGTGGTGTGCACAGAAGCTCCACCAACTAGATTCCTGATAAAAACAAAAGACAGCCCCTCTCCTACAGACCAGCTGCTAGTTGAGTTCATGTCCACCTGGCCATGTCTTAGCTGGTCTGTGTGTTCACATTGATGCACCGTTGTCAGCCCGCTCAGCACCCTGCTATGCATGGAAAACAGCGGTACTGAAGGGGATGGTCCGTTGCCAGTGGTGCTGGGCTGAAAGGAAGCCTGTGATTTTTGCAGCTGGTTAGCTCTCACTGACCCCAGGGATGTGGCCAGGATCGAAAGCAAGACGGTTATCATCACCCAAGAGCAAAGAGACACAGTGCCCATCCCCAAAACTGGCCTCAGCCAACTCGGTCGCTGGATGTCAGAGGAGGATTTTGAAAAAGCATTCAATGCCAGATTCCCAGGGTGCATGAAAGGTGAGTGGAACATTTATTTGATTGGGCAAAATAGCAGAGAACCTTTTCTTATTTCCTCTATCCTAATGGTAATTCAAACAGCAACGGAAGCTCCCACCACCTCAGATGTCTTTGAGTTCCATACATGAAATTGGCAATGTATTGAAAATGCACATCCCTGTTCTGCTTTTACAGACTGTCTTATATGAACATGAAAACTATTTCCATGCACGTGGGTTTAAAACAGCTTGGTGGGACCCAATTGCACATTTATGAAAACTCTTTAATTTCAACAGGCTGTTCACTTTCCAGTGGCCTCTTCTAACCCAGGGGGGCTGGTGACCAGCAGGGCGTGGTGGCGTTGGTGGGAGACCCAGCAAATGGGTCTACGTGGGAAAAGAATGCTGGTTGTGTTTGTAGTCCAAAGTCATTTGTCACCAGTTCCCACCCACGCACCCTGTAGGTCGCACCATGTACGTCATCCCATTCAGCATGGGGCCGCTGGGCTCGCCTCTGTCAAAGATCGGTATTGAGCTGACGGATTCACCCTACGTGGTGGCCAGCATGCGGATCATGACGCGGATGGGCACGCCTGTCCTGGAAGCACTGGGCGATGGGGAGTTTGTTAAATGCCTCCATTCTGTGGGGTGCCCTCTGCCTTTAAAAAGTAAGTGTATTATTTCAGAATCGAAAGTCAAAATAAAAGAGAAAGCTGAACCCCCCCCCCCAGCCGCGGGTGCCTCGGGGACCCCCAAGCAGGGCCCTGGCGCACTGATGTGGGAGGGGTCCTTGTTCACAGAGCCTTTGGTCAATAACTGGGCCTGCAACCCGGAGCTGACGCTCATCGCGCACCTGCCCGATCGCAGAGAGATCATCTCCTTCGGAAGTGGGTACGGCGGGAACTCGCTGCTCGGGAAGAAGTGCTTTGCTCTCAGGATGGCCAGCCGGCTAGCCAAAGAGGAAGGCTGGCTGGCAGAGCACATGCTGGTGAGTCTGCAGGAAGCCCTGATGTGCACATGAGAGGCTTGGGAGGTGGGCAGGGGGGTGGGAGGGTGGCAGAAACAAATAGCATCACAGTTCCTGTCCAGCAGGACCCAGCACACCTCTCTGAGCATGCAGGTTCCCGGACAGATCGGGAAACCCCACCAGTAAAGACCACTGCACCTGCATAAGTCACTTTTGAAGGGCCCCAAGCACCAGGGGACTATAGAGATCCTTTGGGCTTCATGATTTTGGAAATGTTTGTTTGCACTGATACCTGAAGAAATAGATCTTGAGGACCTACATTCCCACCTGTGAGCTGAAGTACCAACCTCAGGGAGAAGCAAACAAAGATCTTAATAAAGAATCTTGTCCCCAACAGATCCTGGGTATAACCAACCCGGAGGGCAAGAAGAAATACCTGGCAGCTGCATTTCCCAGCGCCTGCGGGAAGACCAACCTGGCCATGATGAACCCCAGCCTCCCCGGGTGGAAGGTTGAGTGCGTGGGGGACGACATTGCGTGGATGAAGTTTGACGCGCAAGGTGAGTCAGTTGGACTCAAGTGAATTGTTGGCCTTCAAAACATGCCACAGTCTCCTCAATCCAGTGTTTGGATTTTTAAATTCTGTTAGTTCAGAGCTGGCAAAGCCTTAGTATTCTGTATTCTGTAAGAATTCTTCAATTTAATATTCAATCTGGATTGAAATAGGGCCATATGTTGCTGTTTGTTTACATACATAAATTTGTTTAGATGGTATTGGTGGAAAATTGTGGAGGAAGCAAGAGTTGTAAATGTCTCAAAGTTGCATATGATGCTAAGATGAAAAGAGATAAATGTATATTCTAGGGAGGGAAAAAAAGATCTGAGAAGCTGGCATAGAAATTAGTCCGGCAGGATTGAAGAGTGTTTGCCGTTCACCACTGCTTCTCTGGTTTGAAACTCTCCAGGTAATTTAAGGGCTATCAACCCAGAAAATGGCTTTTTTGGTGTCGCTCCTGGGACCTCTGTGAAGACCAACCCCAATGCCATCAAGACCATCCAGAAGAACACCATCTTCACTAATGTGGCTGAGACCAGCGACGGGGGCGTTTACTGGGAAGGTATTGATGAGCAGCTAGCTCCAGGCGTCACCATCACTTCCTGGAAGAATAAGGAGTGGAACCCAAAGGATGGTGAGTCCCCGCCAGAGGCCTCGGTGTGCTGGGCCAGCGGGGATCGCCTGTTTGAGCCAGGCACTCATGGGACTTTCTCTGTCTTATAGGGGAACCTTGTGCCCACCCTAACTCGAGGTTCTGCACCCCTGCCAGCCAGTGCCCCATCATTGATGCTGCCTGGGAGTCTCCGGAAGGCGTTCCCATTGAAGGCATCATCTTTGGAGGCCGCAGACCTGCTGGTGAGGCTCTCCTTCATTTAAGCTGGGAACACGGATGTGCTGGGTACAGAAGGGCATCTGTGAAATCTTTCTTTTTCCATGACCTTGTCAGAGGGTGCTCAGGGGCTTCCTTTCTTGAGCTTCCTTTCCAAAAAGCCAGAATAATTGGCAAGCTCAAATGCAGAACCAACCCTTCTGGTCACCTAGAACCTTTCTGAATCCTTGATCTACTGTAGCTTGATCAAATTTTACTTTTGACTTTGTGGCCTCAGTCCTGTAACTTTGACTTAGCAGTTTTCTGCACTTTAGCTTGGTGAATGCAAAACTAGCTCTATTCCGATGTTGTTGTCTTGCTGTGTCTTTCCATGTTGTGAAATAACACCGCTGCTTGTGGAGGCTGAATATCAAAGCCTCTAGGGAACTTTTCTATTTTTTTCTTGCTAAAGGTGTCCCTCTAGTCTATGAAGCTCTCAGCTGGCAGCATGGAGTCTTTGTGGGGGCAGCCATGAGATCAGAGGCCACAGCAGCTGCAGAGCATAAAGGTAAATTGAAGTCCTAATTTGAAACCACAGATTACAGGTAGTGGGATTAGAGCTCTCTTCATCACTCTTATATCTCTCTCCTTCTCTGTGACTGTATGTGGGGAGAGAGAGAGAGAGAGAGAGAGAAAGAGAGAGAGAGGAGAACAAAGCATGCTGGTGTCAAGAATAAATGGGGTCCGTCCGTCTTGCCTAGGAGAGCATCATTTACCAATGGACCCTCCCTCTCTGTTTTACAGGCAAAATCATCATGCACGACCCCTTTGCCATGCGGCCCTTCTTTGGCTATAACTTTGGTAAATATCTGGCCCACTGGCTTAGCATGGCCCAGCACCCAGCAGCCAAGCTGCCCAAGATCTTCCATGTCAACTGGTTCCGGAAGGACAAGGAAGGCAAATTCCTCTGGCCAGGCTTTGGAGAGAACGCCAGGGTGCTGGAGTGGATGTTCAACCGAGTGGACGGGAAAGCCGGCGCCAAGCTCACGCCCATAGGCTACATCCCCAAGGAGGACGCCCTGAACCTGAAAGGCCTGGGGCACGTCAACACGATGGAGCTCTTCAGCATCTCCAAGGAGTTCTGGGAGAAGGAGGTGGAAGACATCGAGAAGTATCTGGAGGAGCAAGTCAACGCGGATCTCCCCTGTGAAATCGAGAGAGAGATTCTAGCCTTGAAGCAAAGAATAAGCCAGATGTAATCAGAACCTGAGCACTTTACCTTTAAAATCATCCCCTTTCCCATCTACAAAGTGCAGTAGGAGCAAGAGAGGGCAAGTTTGTGAAATTGACACCACCATAATAATCATCACCACACCATGAGCAGATCTGAAAGGCACACTTTGATTTTTTTCAGGGATAAGAACCACAGAACACAGGCTAGTCGCTAATGAAATTGGGAAGGGAAATCTTAGCACACCTCCAGAAATTCTCATCCAATGCATAGTTTGTTGAAATTGAAGGTTACCCAGGAATTTTATCTTTTTAGTGTTTTTTCACCTTAGCTATGTGGATTAGCGAGAATGCACACCAAAAAAAAAAATACTTGAGCTGTGTACATATATGAGAGTTTGTATGTGTGTGCACATGTGTCTGTGTGGTATATTTGTGTATGTGTATTTGTATGTACTGTTATCGAAAATATATTTAATAACTTTGGAAAAATCTTGGGCAAGATGACATACTAGTTTTGCTTGAAAGAAATGTTGCTTTGTTATTAATATGTGTGTTTAAATTATTTTTATACACCGTTGTTCCTTACCTTTACATAATTGCAATATTTCCCCCTTACTACTTCTTGGGAAAAAATTACAAAATAAAGTTTTATAGAAAAGATGGATTTGCTTTGCTTGGGTTTTCTTACCTGAGTTACCAAGAAGAGAGAACTCTGATTAAATATCTTGTGATCTAAATCCTACCTCCTCTCCAAGAAGTGGGGACATTCAGAATCACACGGGTCCCAGGGGGAAGGAAGCAGCGGACGGGGAGTATGAGGTAGGGGATCGTGGTTAGGGTTTTCTGAATTCGCTGAAGTCACTAGTTGGCATCCTTTAACAATTCTACAAACCCTTAGGTGGTGAGGCTTCTGAGCCTGGACTGGGGAGGTTTAATGCTTTTTGACAATTTGGGTCTGGAGGGGTTCCACAAAAATTACACCGTGGACAGTTTTCTCAACTGTCATCCCTGTGGGAGAGAAAGGGAAGACAAGAGTTCTTGAGAAGGAAAAGCCAGCAGGATCTGGGCCGAGCAAGCATTAATTGAGCGCCTTCTGTATCCTGGGCATCAATGCCAACACCATGGGCTACCCAAGAAGAGAGGCGGGTGGTTCGGCCCCTAGCTCTGCCTTGAGCTCTCACCTGCTCCCCTCTGCTCCCAGTGCTTATTGGGTATTCCAGAACAGTCCAAACAAACCATAAACTTTATATCACAGATTCATTCTGTATAAACACCATTATTTTCAAGTCACAGTTTCCTTCCTGGGCCTAGGCTGTGACATTGGCTTCATCCTCCCACACCCCAGTGGGCAGGCTTGCTTTCATGCCACGCTCCGCCCCTCCAGTCTCCTCACCTGGAAAACATGCATCTTTTCCTCACTTCCTTTGCTCCTTACAATGGCTCCACATGGAAGGTAAAGCCGAGATCACCCCAATTTTACAGGTGAGGAAACGGAGGCCAGGAGCATCCATCGGGGCTGAGAAATTGCCAGGATTTCCTTCCCCTTTAAGGAGCTGAGAGTCTTACCTGGCTCCAGACACACTGGCTTGTTCTAATATCAAAACCACTGATGGGGAAAAACCACTTACTGAATTAAATGCTATCTGCTGTACTCGTTTAAATCAGCAGCATTCAAACGTGTTTCTCCTTTTCACCGCAGAACATGTTCCTGACATGCACTTGACTCAGAGTCCCTCGTCTAAAGGATACAGAGCCCAAGGCAGTCCACCCGAGGCTGGGGAGGCAGTCCAGAGTGCAGGCCACCTGGCCTCCATTTCCCTACCCCTTGGGGGCCTTTGGGCAGCTCCTCGGACTCCTGAGAGGGGCCACCAGGATACAGTTTGTTAAAATGCGCGTCTTGCCCACTGTCCCATTATGGGCCATCAGTAGTCTCTACTCCCTTGGCAGGCAAAGAAACTGGCCCTCTCCGAATTCCTTCCCCTCCTGCACAGCATCACCCACCTGCCAAGCAGCCTCATGTCGGACCATTTTCCAGCAGCCACTGCAAGCCTGGGGGACAACCTAGGGGAGGTGACTTATGTACACAGCATAAGAGTTTTCAGGGGACAAAAAGGACTCAACACGTGTCATTGGCTCCTGACTCAGTTTCCCCAAACCATGCCTCCTGAGTGCGCCATCTGTCTCCAAATTCTGGTTTCTGTGCTGGGACCCCTGTCTATAATAAACAGGACACTGTGACCTTATTCTTCAATGTTCTCTTGTTGTGCCTTCAGATGATGCAGGGTATATAAGCTAAGGCCATTTGCAGGAAGCTCACAGAGGATGAGTGGCTCATTTCATCATTGAAAATACGGTTGGAGTGAGATGGAAAGACCAGTCTCCTGATTCCTGACCTGCCGCCAGACCACGTGACTCCAAAACCAACAGTGGGACTGACGTCCTCTATTGGAACCCAGTGTAAGAGCTGCCCCCTGACCTCCAGGAAGCTGTGTTGGAGTCTGGGTTAAAGGCCAGAAAACAATAGTTACACAACAAATATTGAAGCAGGACAACAAACCTGCCCTCACTCCCAGTCGAGGCATTTAGGGGGCGCTGGCAGGTAGGCAGGTGGGGTGGGGTGGCTGGGTGGGGCTGGGAACACTTGGGAGTCAGGAGTTACAGGGTTCTCTCCCTTCTCTTCTTCTCCCCTGGGGCCCACCCTAGCCTCGAGCCCCCTGGGCTGCACACTCGGCCCTCTGGGTGCCAACAGCATGCACCTTCCGGAGTGCACGGTTTGGCTTTAAGAACCTACCGAGCTCTCTTGACCTGCAGCCCTTCCAGAGGGCATCAAGCCAGTGCACCAGCCTCTGCTTTGCCCTCTCCGTCAGCAGTTGCTGCAACAGCCCCAGTGAGTTCATCTTTGGGAAAGAGTTGGCTGCCTGCTTCCTACCTTCTGTCCTTTTTCCTTCCCTGGGGGCAGCAAACACTGGTAACCTGGAACATATCACAGCTCTGCTGCTGGCCAGCGGGGCCTTCTAGCTCCTCTGTGCCACTGGGGTAATAATGCCTCTGGTGGACCCCGATAAGGGTGAAATAAACTAGCCCAGCACAGTGCTGAATCTGCAGTCGGAGGGTCTGTGTGTGAGTCACAGCCCTGCATCTCCCTGGAAGTGTGCCCTTAGGCAACTGCCCGAAACACTGAGCCTCAGTTTCCTCAACTGTAAAATGGGCCAGATGACTACTGTCTCCAGGGGGTTGTTGAGAAGCTCCAATGAGGTGATGCCAGCCAGGGACTTGGCACACAGTGGGGCCTGGCAGGGGCCGATTGTTCTGGTTTTCCCTTCACTCCACCTTTTCAGGGTTGGAGCCACATCAGGTATGGGAGTTTGCTCCCTCCCACGACAGCTGTCCCACCGATGACCGGCTGTAGCTCAGGAGTGGAAATCTGCCCTCTGTAGAGCCTCCACAGCTCTTACTTCCACTGTGTATTTCAGAAAAAGGAGCTGGAGAGCAAAGCCCATCAGGAATATCAGAAGCATTTCTTCTCCTGTGTGGCGAGCCCATCCATGTAGGGAGTCACCTTCACCCTCTGAGCTCCAGAACAAAGCTCAGAGGTTTTTCTGATGCTCAGAGGTTTTTCAAACATTTTAGTAACAGGCTCAGTTTGGTCCAGGAGAAGTTCTACCTTTAAGAAATGTGTCGTAAGGGGAAAATCATGAAAGTCTGCACAGATTGAGTTGCAAGGATGCTCACCATGGAGTCGTTTACCACGGCCAAAAATTAAGAACCAACCTAAATGCCCAACAATGGAAATTGTAGTCACTTCGAGAACAGACAACCAGGCAGCCATTTAAAATGATTCTGTAAAAGATAGGATATTGACAGGCAATATTTGCTACTGCTTCCTCTGCAAAGGTAGATAATGAAAGTGTATCGAGTATTTGTACATCTGTGCTTAGAAAAAAAACTGTTAAGAATACCATGGTAACAGTAGCAGCTGGGTCCTAGGTTGGATGGTTGGGGACTGCACCAGCCTCATTCCTGTTTTCACCATGTCATTCAGGCTACACGAACTGCCTAGAACTTTGCTGCAAAAAAGGGAGCTTGGCAGAGGCAGGGGGTGCCCCCAAATTGAGAAAACCCTGAATGAACTGACTTTACCCCAATGATCTAAGATCAAGTTTCTTCCAGGGGATGAAATGGGGGCTTGAGACAGAGAAGAATTTCAGATGGGGTGTCAAGCAGGTGATTTGTTTCTGCTTTCCTGAAGTTTTGCTGGAGTTTTTCTGCTCTTCCTCACACAGGAAGCTCAGCACAGCGGGGGCCCCCTTGAGAGGGGTTCAAAACACAGGCGCTTGTGAGGGCCCCGCTCCCAGGACCCCTGGGCAGATTACAGGAAGAGTGGCCGGCGCCGGATGGGTGCAGGTCACATTGTTACGGAACCGTTTCCACGCACCATGTTCTCTCCACCATCTGGGCCCTCTCTTAGCTCCAGAACAAAACTCAGAGGTTTTTCTGATGCCGCAGAGCTGGGATTTGGGGCTGCCGCAGAGGCGCAGCGGACGTCATTGGGCCCACAGTAGCACTGTAGCGGGACCAAGAATACATTTGCCTTGTTGACACCTGCTTGCGTCTTTGCATTGAACTCTTATTCCTGGGGGCGCTGGGCCCACGCAGCCTGGGCCACCTCAGAGCCTGTCGGCGGAGCCCCCTGGTAATGTGATATGTAAATGTGCGAATGTTCACCAGCCTGAATGGCAGAACTCCTCTCCAGGCGAGGCAATTTGCAGCAAAATATGCTGTAAATATTTGTTCAGCCCGGGAAAATGACTCTAATTGCATAATTAAACTCGTTGTTGATGCTGCTTCCTGGACATAACCACGGCAGAGGAGGCCCCAGGGTCCAGCTGCCCCTCAGAGCTCGCTAGAGCACTGACTGTTTGCAGAGGCTTTTCCTGTCTCTTCACAGGGAGAACGAAGAAAGGAACTTGGGGAGAGGTTGCCTATGGAGACAGAGGGTGCTGAAAGGTCCCAGAATCAGAGGATCACCTGCGTGGGGCCTCACAGATCCTCTCAGAGGAGTGAGGCTGCCTTCCAAATGTCCAATGCACATTCCACCTTCCATGGACGGCTGGTAACTTGAGCCAACGACTCATTTGCTCAAGTGGAGAAATATTAGTAGATTGAAAGAAATTTGCTTAAAAAGACTTTTGATCCCAAGGGGATCCCAAAGCAGCGTTCCTTGCTAAGGTAACTACGGAAACACAATGCTAAGGGAAAGAGGCTGCCACACCAGACAACTGTGTCGCACGAGTCCATTGATACGAAATGTCTGGAGCAGGGACGCCTGTAGGGACAGAGAGTAGATGAGGGTTGCTGGGGGTCAGGGGAGGAGGCAATGGGAAGGGACAGCTGACCCCTGACAGTTGCAGGCTGTTTTGGGGGTGACGAAAATATTCCAGAGTTAGACTGTACTAGAGTTTCTGAAATCCTGTGAATATATAAGAAACCATTGAAGTGTGCATTTGAAATGGGCAAGTTTTATGATATGTAAATTATAGCTCCATAAAGTTGTAAGTAAAAGAATAAATATAACTAAAACGAAATATACCAAAGGCTCTGCATTAGAGGCCTGCATTCACCTTGTTGAAGAGGGAGCTGAGGAAGGAAGAGGTATGTGCCC